TGAACTCCGGGTGCTCTCTTCCATCGCTCCGAGCAGTTAGCCAAAAAAAAGGAAACATTTAATAATTCCGACTCGAACGGATCTGCTGGGCCCATTTCTTGGTCGGTTCGTACTGTCACGGTTTGTGAAACAAGCAGGACCCAAATGCAGATTTAAACTGAAACTTCCTTTATTTCAAGGCTATGAGATATATGTACAATGACAAAAAACAGAACACTCACCGCAGAACTAGTCAGGGACAAAGGACGAACCGACCAAGACAGACAGAAAACCCAGAACTTAAATACACACAAGACTCAATCACACAACAAGACACAGGTGAGGAGGGAGGAGAAAACACAGGGACCCAGGTGAACATAATCAGACAATTAGACACACCAGGGGAACTAATGACAAGACAATAACCCAAAGGGAAACGTGACATGGAAAACAGCAAAAACACCCAAACCTACAAAACTATAAACGTGACATAACATGAGAATCGTGACAGGTTGGAGGCTGGATTTCGAGTCAATGCTAAATTTGAGGGGGAATTCAGCATCCAAGCCTTTACAATGTGATACTAAATCTTTTTGTATGGCGATGACAAAGCTCTCAAGGAGAATAGCCAAATAAAACGTCTTATTTGTATTGTTTGTTAATGTTTTACTTCTTATTTTAAGAGAGTGAAGCTTTGAAGACCGGTGAAAGGCCAATAAGAAAAGGTAACACTCACACTGTAACACATCATCTTTAAGTTCATTTGTAGAATCCTTGGTGTTATTGTGATGGTATTAATTAAAATATGAACATGTGTTATATTAACCAGGTTTACCCAGAATGGCGTTCTTTGAGCCCAAAGCTAGACGCGCCGCGAAACTCCCGGTTCTTCTCAGAGGTAATCTCATTTACCAGAGGATCTTACATGTTAATCACTGAACTGTAGAGTATGGTAAGTGCAGCCTGTGACACGGTGACTAAGCTAGGCTAGCAGTTTCCCCCTGTTTTCAGTCTTTATGCTAAGCTATGCTAAGGTAAGTTGAGCTAAGCTAACCAGCTGTTAGCAGTGGCTTCGTACAGAGTAGTTTTCTGCCATAAAAAGAAGGATCACTTTTAACAAACCTTTTTTAATTAAGCTTAAAATGTAAGAAAATTGTCAATAGAGTTGGTTATAAATAATATCTGCCTCAATTTCTCGATTTGCGTGTCTGATATTAATGCATTTTTGTCACTATTTCTGTCACAATCTTTATAAATAGGATGTCTTTTTCTTTAATATTCCAATATTAAGCCAAGAGAGCAGCAAAGATTGCCCCCAAGACTCCCAAAAAAGGTAAGAGGAAGAATTTGCTGCAACAATAATACATTGAGACTCAAACTCACACTGTCATAAGAGCCAGATGAAAATATTTACAGAGAAATACTTTATTATTATTATTATTATAATATGAACCATTTAAAGATTACTGTTGTCAAGTAGGATTCAAATATATTCAGGTGTTGATGGATTATCTTTTAAAGATTTGATTTTCACCTCAAATCTTGCAAGTACAAAGTAAAGACAATGCAAACACATTGTCTTCGTATGTCAAGTGTTGTCGTTTTTATTGCCCATAATATAAAAACATCTGTAAAGACCTCGAACCCCTAATTCAGATGACACTGAGTTATTTTTGTTTTTTCAACAGAGACAGAAGCAGAAGAAGAGCCAGAGACCAAAAAGCAGGAAGAAGCCGCAGAATCTGGAGAAGGTGACACTATGATATCTATTATGAATTGTAAAGTTTTTCCTATAAACATGTGAATATACTTGGATAAATACTCAAGAAAAATAACCCAATGTTCAGAGGTGGGAAGTAGTGGAGTACAAATACTTTGTTACTGTACTTAAGTACATTCTTCTGGTATCAGTACTTTACTCCACTACTTATTTTTCTGATGACTTATTACTTTCTACTTCTTACATGTTGAACTCAAATACCTGTACTTTCTACTTCTTACATGTTGAACACAAATACCTGTACTTTCTACTTCTTACATGTTGAACTCAAATACCTGTACTTTCTACTTCTTACATGTTGAACTCAAATACCTGTACTTTCTACTTCTTACATGTTGAACTCAAATACCTGTACTTTCTACTTCTTACATGTTGAACACAAATACCTGTACTTTCTACTTCTTACATGTTGAACACAAATACCTGTACTTTCTACTTCTTACATGTTGAACACAAATACCTGTACTTTCTACTTCTTACATGTTGAACTCAAATACCTGTACTTTCTACTTCTTACATGTTGAACTCAAATACCTGTACTTTCTACTTCTTACATGTTGAACTCAAATACCTGTACTTTCTACTTCTTACATGTTGAACTCTAATACCTGTACTTTCTACTTCTTACATGTTGAACACAAATACATGTACTTTCTACTTCTTACATGTTGAACATAAATACCTGTACTTTCTACTTCTTACATGTTGAACTCTAATACCTGTACTTTCTACTTCTCACATGTTGAACTCAAATACCTGTACTTTCTACTTCTTACATTTTCCAAACAGCTGGTTCCTTTAGTCTGAATGTGTGTTTGGT